CATTACTCACAAGCTATTTCGACTCTTTTTGAGGTAAAAGGTTTAGTAACATCATAATAAAGTCTGAGAAACGTTGATAAAAAAAGTTTACCTTCTATGAAATCTAATCATAACTTATTCTTGCAATGGCTGAATAAGGAAGGAGTCACAGAGATAGTTTCCAATAATTTCTTCAGTAATAAATTATGTTTTAGGCGAAGGTATCTACTCGTTGATGGATAGGATTTATATAATACATTAATGAAGGATGAATTCAAACGAAAATGTAAAAGACCTATATTAGTCTAGTATATTCCAATAAAATTCTTACAATGAACAATCATGGAATCAATAAAAACATTAAGCTCTTTAATAACTCTAATAAAATATCTTATAGCTTTTTGATTGTCAGCGACATGAAAATTTTTAAGAATACTTTAAACACTTTAACTTTTCATACGTGAGCTATTAACAACTACATGTACTAACAATGAAGCACTTTGCTAAATACAGTCCATGTAATGCAATACAATTTAATCCATTATTACTTTTATTCCTGAGGGCAGTGTTGAGTTCGGGACAATTGGGACAAATTTGGGTCAATTTAAACTCAAAATTTTATGAAGACAGCCGGCCTTATAAATTTAAATAAAATAATCAAAGTTTAATCATATCTATATATCATTTTTGAAAGTTAAATAAAAGGTAAAAATGCTCTAGGGACACTGATGGGACATGTCCAGGACAAGGCTAAAATGCTAGGGACACTGTCCGAACCCATCACTGCCTGAGGGTCATAGGACGACTTTCATATGATTAGTTGTTTATGTCAATTTAATTTATACAGTTTAAGTACTTTTCAAAAAAAAAAATAAAACTACAAAGAATAAACGAAAAAAAAGTACATAGGAGGTATTGTTAGTGTTGTAGGACTCCACTATTAAAAATGATCAAAATCACTTTTGTTTTAGAGAAGTTAGCATAGTAATAATCTTGTTCGATCTATTTTTAAGAAGTTATTAAAATACTAACTTCACTAAAACAAAAATGGATTTTGATCATTTTCAATAGTGGAGTTCTACAACACTAATAATACCTCCTATGTACTTCTTTTTCATTTATTCTATGTAGTTTTATTTTTTTGAAAAAGTACTTTAACTGTATAAATAATATAAAATTAAATTGACTTAAACAACTAATCATATGAAAGTCCTGGGTGTATCGTTATTTATAGCATAATTGTAAATACGTACGTACGTACGTAGCTTCTATGCATACACTACACAAAGATTAATTGTGCCACAAGATTCCATTAACGTCAAAGAGTTTATTAATCACGAGGTTTCTGTTCCTTTATTCGATGATTTTTGTGCCAAAAAAAGTCATATTAAATACAATCAAAAAAGAAATATAAAGATCCGAAGTAGTCCGACATGAAAATATAGTATGAAAGTATAAATAAGAACGGTGGAATAAATAAATTTGTATTCAAAAAATTACCGAATTATAGAAATAATGGCAAGAAAACCTTTCTTTAAATATCTTTTCATCTTAATTTATTTATTTCCTACAGTATCAGCAAGCTTACAACTTTCTGATATATTTAACTTTGGAATAATCGATTACATACCTTATATTGCAGTCACTGTAATTTTTCTAATCCTTATAATTTCAGAAACAATTCTAGAAATTCTGAGACCCGCGTATGCAATATGGTTAAATCGCATAACTTATTCTATCTATATTACCTTAGTAATATTCCTATTATTCTTTTTTCTGCCTATATTCTCTTATGTGTCAGAAGGTTTTAGTACAAGAACAATATGGTTAATAAGTGCTAATAGTGCAGGAATTGGAACACTTATAATAGTTTTATTAAATCATTATTATTCCTGTCTTGAAAATTTTGATTGTTGTTGTGTCGAGTGTGTCTATACTCAAATTACTTCGAATGTCCTATGTTGGTTCATAATAATTGATTTTATCTTCTTAATCAACATGACGCCTGGTTTTGATGTTAAAATTCATGTTCCGCTTATAATTATTTTATTATTAGTTATTTTTTTACTTTGGTTCTCTTTCATTCGTTTTTCATTAGGTAATGAATATCGGGTAACGATGTTAATGGGAATGATTTTGTTTGGAATAGCAAATTACCTAGTATATTATGGTATTTTAAAAGATGTAAACAAAATTTCACTTTTATTGTTTTGGGCAAATTTATGGTTGATATTAATTTCCATCTTTAAACTATCTATACCTAAATTTAAACAAATTTTTATAAGCGATTATCCAAGAGATTACCCAAGAATAAATGATGCGGTAAGTGAGATTACCTAATAAAAGTGGATGGTAAAATAATTTCGATATATAAAACTTTTTAGCAGTGTAGTTCTGTTACTAGTAGTTCTGTAGTTAATAATAAAGTTTCATCTTTATCTATTTAATAATACAAGTCACTCTCGTTATAGTGAAGGGATCAGGCTGAGAAAAAAAATCTTCACTATAGCTTATATCGAGAGTTCACTATAACGAGAGTGACTTGTATTTGTTTCGTTACACTTTATAGAAGTTAATCTTATGCACTATTAGCAATATCGCATAAAATCATCCGATACTTCCTGTGCGTGTGAATTCTTTTTTAGTTTTTCATACTTAGAATATTGTTTATTTCAACGAAGCGAGAAAATCTCCTATGATCATTTCATAGAAATGCTTATTTCCGCAAAAAAGCAAAAAAAAACTTTTAAAATATTAGAAATTGTTAGTATTTGTGTTATAGAAAAAATATCATTCTAGAAACTGAATTCACCCATTTCACCGACAGTTATTTCCCCGATTTTTAATTCTACCTAACGTTAACTTAAAGTTAGGCTAACCTATTGTAAAAATGAAATCTATCGATATTTTTTACATCCGATTTTATGTAGCCGGCTTAGCCAATTTGTAAACTTCGACTTAGTCGAATTAGGTCGACTACAAGTACTACCGCTCATAAGGTTGTTTCGGAAATTGTATCCTTTAAAAACATATTTTGATTCAAATAATACCCATGCAATCTGTAAAAACATTAATATCCTTAACATTAACAAATTTTCTTATAACTTTTTGATTGGTGAATATTGTTAGCGACTTAAAAACTTTCTAACTTTTCATACGTCCTTGTAATACTGCACAATTTAATCCATTGTTACTTTTATCTCTGAGGGTGTATCGTTATTTATAATATAATTTTTAACTTATGCGACAGAAGGTTTTAGTACAAGAACAATATGGTTAATAAGTGCTAATAGTGAATTAATTAGAACACTTATAATATCTTTATTAAGTGATTATTTTTGTGATGGAAAATATAACGCACTTTAAGTGTGATTGTCCTACCAACTGTCTCCGTAGTTGATATTGCCTTCTTATTTGCAATGATACCTGGTTTTGATGTTAAAATTCATGTTCCGCTTATAATTATTTTATTATTAGTTATTTTTTTACTTTTTTTCTCTTTAATTCGTTTGTCATTAGGTAATGAATATCGGGTGACGATGTTAATGGGAATGATTTTGTTTGGAATAGCAAATTACCTACTATATTATGGTATTTTAAAAGATGTAAACAAAATTTCACTTTTATTGTTTTGGGCAAATTTATGGTTGATATTCATTTCTATCGGTAAAATATTTATATTGAAATTTAAACTAGTTTTTATAAGCAATTATCCAAGAGACTATCCAAGAGTAAGTGATACGGTAAAATAATATCGATATAAAACACTTTTTAGCTGTGTAGTTCTGTTACTAGTAGTTCGGTAGTTAATAATAAAGTTTCAAAGGTAATATCTTTAGCATCTATTTAATATAAATTATTACACGATATTTGTTCGTTACGTTACATATTAGCGGCTTTATAGATATTAACGTTAATATGATGCACTATTAGCAATATCACATACGTAAAAAAAGAATCGACCAGGGCGGTTATGAAAAATACAGGTCATGTGGGTAGAGCCTCCTGCCACAATTGCAGCAGACGAATCAGTACTGGATCTATAATAGATCTATAGTGCTATCGCTACGTACAAAAACTTTGCATTTGCATATTATGCTAGTGGTACCACCCACATGACCCGTATTTTTTATGGCCGCCCTGGTTGATTCAAAACAAATCGAAATCATGCGACACTTTCTTATTGTCTTATTGTTTTTATTTCAACGGGGTGATCCTATAGATGAATTTTGACAGGGCGCAGGATCGATTTTACTGTCACGTAATTCTCGGAAAACAAATGTTGTTAATTTAAAAACTTCTTTTATATTTGAGTTAGAGTTTAGGAAGGACTATAGCATAGCAAAATTATACAAGAAAATTTTTTGTTAGGACTCCAAAGACGGTTTACTACACTAGATTTTGAGATAAATGCGATTTTTGCAAAGCGAACGTTTGTTTTGAATTTCTTTACGTTACACCTGATCCTGATCTTTGATTGGCTGACAGACGTCGGAAAATCATGTGACAGTAAAATCGATCCTACGCCTTGGCGTTGTTCTATAGATGGGTGCCAAAATTCAAAAAAGAAAATTGCAACAATACCACTTGATTATTAATTATTGTTTTAATTTCCTCTTTGAATTTCGGCATCCACCTATAGGTGATCCTATGATCATTTTGTGGTTATTTCTACGAGTGATACAAACTTTAAAAACATTTTTAGTTATATAGGATATATTAGAGTTAGGGTCTGTTAGTAGTGCTCATAGTCATAAGGAAAATAATGAGTTACTGCATGTAGAATTTCATCTCATCGCTTTTAGTTAGTGCTATCAGGCAGGCTTAACCGTTCTTTGTTTTATAATTTCGTTGTTTTAAATTTTTTTTTCGCTTTACACATGCAAAGGGCTTACGTTCTCACTCATACAAATAATTGTACGCCATTTTAGTAAATCATGAGAATTTGGCTAAAAATTGGCATAATATAAAATATACAAATTAGATCATGTCCATTTTTTTTTCAGATTCAAAATTCAAAAATGAGTATTATAATTGGACCCGCGATAGCCGTTATAGCATCCTTCCTGGCGTTAACTGTAGTTTTATTATCATTTATTGGACTAGAGAAATTTGAACTGCCCATTGCAGAAAATTCTACATTAACCGGATATCCAACATGGCATCCTACTATTCCAGGTTCTTAAAAATTATTGTATTAATATAGCATCAATTTCGAATTTGAATCTCTTTAATGCGTATCTTAATTTTATCTAAATATTAGATCTCGATGCAAATCGCCTCAATACTATCTTGTTATTTACTAACTTGATATGCTTTTTCGCTAGTATTTTTGGTTTTTATTGGGCATTTTACCCTCCTCAAGATAAACAACTTATCTCCAATTTTTATGAAAATAATACAGTGGTCACATCTACCCGTCATTTTAATTTACTTTTAGCAAATTATATCTTTTTTACATGGATCGCTTTCGTAGCTTATATGATCCTTGATATTGGGAAATTATGGGTCCCAATTGGATTATTATGCAACGTTGCAGAGATTTCGTTATTAGCATGTATTCATTATGGTGGAAAGATTACTGCGATTAAGTATTGGGCATGGATACTTAGATATTTGGTCATAATAATCATTGGTTGCGTATGGTTGGATTTTCCTTATGATGCATTTTGGTATCAGATACAAGGTATACATATTTGCGCAAAATGGCGCCCAGGGTGTTATTTCAAGGCATGCAATCCAAAGAGAGCTAAATAATTTAACTGAATGCAAATCATAATCTTATTTTTAAAAAATCCTCAGTTAAATTAGTTATGAATTCTCTTTAAATTTCATACCTCAAAATGGTGCCCCGGGGCATTATTTCGCAATATAAAATAATTAAATTATAATTCCATCATTCCTTTGAATAGCCCAAAGTATACAGGTGGCACTCGTAATTACTTTTTTTCGGTTGTACTTTACCACTCGTAGAAACCTTCGCGAGCGTAGAAGTAGTAGACTTCATATAAATGCCGATCATGAAAATCCAGAAAATCCAGAAAATCCAGAAAATCCAGAGCTCAGTGATTTACCAGTAGACACTATTCCAAATGAACCTGACTCTGAATATCCGCTTCCCCTAAGTTTCCTCCCTCAACCAAAACAACTTATGGCATTGGTTTTCGCTTCAGGTGTCCATCTTTTAGGCGATTCAATATATGTTATATTTCTGAATCATCCTAATGCGTAAGTACAACTGTGTCTTTATGTAAAATCCTTATAGAGATGGATAATACAAATAAGTACTTAAATTTATCTAATTTTCTATCTTTTAATTACTAGCTATCTATTGGGTGCTTTAAGTTACGCGGTATCATATGGTGTTTTCGCTTACTACATTTGGTTAGATACTCATTGTTATAGAATTTTACCTAAAAAACGTATTTATGTGCCTGAAACAAGTGCCTGGAAAGTCACTTGCATTACTATCTTTTCTGTTACAATAGCCCTTGTACTCGCTAGGCTTAGTTTTTTGGTAGTTTTAGAAAAACGCTAGTTTTAGATAAAATGATTCGAAAATGAATTTATTTTCTATATAGTAGTACTTTTTATTTACTTTTAAAATAACATATTGTATCTTTTTATCTTTTAAAGATCTAATCACACAAGATGTACGATCTTTACAATTGTTTATCATGTAAATTTAAAAAATAAAATACACTAAACTTATAAATATTATATGGGGATGTCAATAGAAGCCAAACAAATTGTTTCTAAGTAAATTTTTTTTAAACTTTAAATTAAAATATCCGACTATTAGATCAAACTTGATAAAAATTTTTTTATTTTAATTCTATATATATAGTTATAGAATTAAAATAAAAAAATTTTTATCAAGTTTGATCTAATAGTTGTTGAGACATAATTTAAAATCTTAACAAAACTCTCTAAAAACAATTTGCTTGGTTTTTATTGACACCCTCCATATGTTTGGTACACATAACGAAAATTCGGTTTATAAGTTTTTCTCTTTAAAAAAAAAAGAAATTTTCTTAATTTACACTAATGTATGAAGCGCAAGTAATTTCTATCAGTAAAACATATTTATACTTAACTAGCCTTTGATCTTGATATAGTGACCAGGGTATAATACTTTTTAGCAAAATAGCTCTATCACTAATGTAAGTTAATAATAAAATTTAAAAGTAATACGTATCCATCTATTTAATACACATACCGAAAATGTGTACAAGGTTGTGCTCCGGATAACCATGTGATAATCCGGATTTTCACCACTAACTACCCCTGCGTCACCACTAGGATGTCCTAGGAGAGTAGATTAGTGGGTCCACCAAAATTCAGCAAACGACCTGCAGATCGCCGCCGACCCATCATCGGGATTTACTT